GCCTGAAATATCATTAGAAACTGATATTCCTACTGCTGGAAAAGGGCATTCTCAGTAAAGGCACCTAACTCTGGAAATAAGCTCTTCTCTGTGAATTCTGAACAGTCCTTAAGAAAGAATGAAACATCTGTGTAAACTGAGCACCGCACAAAGATATAAGTAGATAAGAGAGAACTTAACTTCAGGGGCAAGGAAATCTTTCAGTAATACCAAAGCAGTTAATAGGCTCAGTGATGCAGTAAGACAATAAATATTAAGGACAGAAAAAGATCTTGTATTATTCAGAGGAAAAAAGCTATATTAATTTCTCAAAAAAAAAAAAAGAAACAAAAACAAACAAGCAAACAAAAAAAAAACCCAAAACCTGAGCCAAATAAGTTACTTTAAAAGAATAACTTCACTGAGGTTCACCAAAGGTTCATGCTGTGTTCCTCCCTGGTATCACACTGGAGCAGACTTATAAAGCAAGAAATAAGGATACAAGGATTCTCCTTGTTTATCTGATGCCAGTAAACTTCTCAAGCTGAAGTTTGCCTTTAAAGTACTATTTTAATACACCTAGTTTCCAAAAAGTTTATTCAAATGCTTTTGAAGCATTTACATTCTTGGCTAGCTGAATGTTAAGCAGTGCTTTTTTGTTTATTTTAACAGAAATACTGATAATTTTACTGTCTGGTAATTTTGCTGGACACCCCCGTTTTTGTATTATGAAAAAAAAAAAGAAAAACAAATGATTGCTCCCATTTACCTTCATGTCATTCGTGATTTTACAAGCTTCAGTAATACCCCGCTTTTAAATGCCAAATTAGTTCAGTGACCTAGCTCACAGCACAACATTACACTGGCATAACTATGAAGACAGGGTGCTATAGCAAAAAGGTAAGGCACAGAGATGATATAGTTCAAAACTATCCACGATGACTTGAAGATGTGATTCCTGGTAACAGCTAATTAAAAACCCACATCTAGTCAGGTTTGTGCCTTCCACACTGCCAGAATTATGTTAAAAGAGTGGCTGTACAAGAAATACACTGTTTTGTTACTCAGAACCTACCTTTTAACACTGAATTTTTAACACATTTTGTAGTCAGCTTCAAATCTAACTATCTATATGATTTCTATGAAGGGTAAAAAGTCCTTTCTATTTTATAACACCTTTTCAGAACATTTAATGACTACACTAACAGAACACATCTCAAAAAAGTTGTCAGGGAACAGTCTTTGGAGTTTTTCACCATGGGGATGCTGAACTTTTCTATTCCTACCTCTTTTTCAGTATCTTTTAATTTATTTATTGAAAAAAACTCACACTTTATTCAATAATAATCTTACTCAATTTTATATAAAACCTAAGTATTTATATGGTTTTATTCAGATCATGTAGTAGTATGCTTTTCATTTGCACCCCTCCTAGTGAACAGTGAACTATGAAAGCTAAGCACTCAACTAAATGAAGGCAAGAATGTCAGGAGCTGGACAGGAAGTCCTTACACAGCGTATTCTTATTTTGCTTAGAAACTTCAGCATTTAAGTCAGATGCACTTGTAACCTTGCTTTGAAAATATAATTCATTTTTTTCACAGAAAAATCTCTGTGACTCTCTGCCAACTGGCCAAGCACAATCATTTAAGGAAGGTGACAGTATTTGTCTTTTCACCTCCTTCACAACACTAGCTGACAAAATGTGGGAAATGAATAACCTACATAAATCTCTGTTTGTTCCTATTTTTTCAAATATTGAGGCAGGAAGGCATTAGTTAGGAAAGAAAAATCCTCACTGCACCTATGTTGATCTAGTCAAGAGATCAACATAACTAGAAAGCTTTACAAAATATATCTGAATGCTGGCACATTTCCAAGTTATTCACCTTTACTCAGATCAACAAAAAGTCATCACTGGAATGAGACTTTAATAATTTCTTTTTCCATAAGAATATACTTATTTTTTCCTCATCATTTAAGTTACTTTCTTTTAATAATAAAGTTTAATTTCTGTAACAAAGGTGGTAGGCTAGGCATGATCTCATAGAATATCTTAGAGAGGTGTAAGGTGAAGTGGTAGGAAAGAAATAGTATTACGGAAGCTCAGGTCCTTAAAGAAAAAGGTGAACTTTTTAGTCTGAATTTCAGAATGACTAAGACTGAAGGATTGCATTCATGACAGTGAGTGCTTCCCAAGCACAGGATAAAATCATGGATATTGATCCACGTCAATTCACAGGATCCAGCTGAAGTCCATCAAAGCTGTGCTGATCTAAAACTGAAAAGCCTTGTTAGATCCACCCTTTTCTATGAGATTCAGTTTCCAGTTCTTTGGTATACTTTTCAGTATCTTCCGCAGCAAAGAGGGAAAGACAGGAAAGAAAAAAAGGAAGAAGGAATAAAAAGTGTTAACGGTGACACTGTTCATTAAAAGGCTGGACATATAAACTAGCTATCAAATTATGAAATTGACATGGGTCTCGGTCGTCAATGCATATTAAGTCACTGCTGTAGCTTCTTTACTATCATAAAGCCGATCTACATATATTACTATTGAAATTTAATTCCACTTTTTTTTTGCATTTCATTCCTGGTGTGTTTGTATAAATGGTACAGAAAGAGAAGTTTCTCAACTTCAGACAGCTTTATTAAGTACTTCAATTAGTAAGACTTACTATCATCCATCCGGAGACTTGGAGGACAATAAAACTTTTTATGAGTAATTAAATTTGGTAATCCTCTGAAGAGACTCCGGCACAATTTACACTCAAAAATGGTGTCCACATCTTTTAACAATATATGTTTAAGTTGTTTAGTTCCTGTAATAAAAGAGATGTTACACTTAAGGAAGGTTTCCTGTTCATCTTTTAATTCACATCATCCCATGAAAGTGGAAACATTTTAAAACACAACAATTAGAACAGCATTTTATCTTGTGTTAATGCTACTTCATTGCACTGTAAGTTTATTATACATACTCCAAGTTTCACTACAAAAACAAGCCTAGTTTGAAAAAAAGACAAAGTCAAGGATTACACACATTACAGTTTACAGGGGAAGCGTGATGATTTATGTTAAAAACAGATACCATTAGGAAGTTCACATTACAGTATCTGGTTGCTGCAATACAGTTGCCCAACAGGAAAGAATAAGCACCTAGAGCATTTGAAGAAGCCTGCTGTATTTTTTCTTTAAGCTTATCCAACAGCACTAAGAAAGCAAGATATATACAGATAGTTCACGTAAAAATAGCACCTGGTAAGCCAAAATACTACAGAGTATGCAATAAAACAAGGAGAATAACTAACAGGTCAAGAAATGTTATCTATGCATCTGACCCAAGACCAATATGATGCTTAGGCAGACCAATATGATGCTTAGGCAAGAAAGCAGAACTGCAGAACTATTTTCGGCCTGCTGAAAGGAAAATACGTATCATTTAAGTCAAAAACTTTTCTACTAAAACATAGGCAGTGTGACAAAATGTGCATGTTTTCAAGACCATTTTACACAGTATATACAAAACAACCCTACAAAGATAGTCTGATCTTGCATCATTGATGTATTCCAGCTCCTGCCTTGCTTAAATAACTAAAGGATTCAGACTTTAAGTTACACTTCTAATTCACTCCTTCATTACTCATTTCATGAAAACTATGAATGTAATGGTTGTAATTAGCAATGGATTGCTAAACCACAAATACTTACCCACTCCAAATTGGAAAGAAACACTAGCTAACCAAATTCAGCTAATTTCTCTATCTTGATTTTTTTTCTTATAAGGGAATAAATCAAAATTAATCAAAATTAGTCAACAAGCAAAAAAAACAATGAAACTAGACTAAGTAATATGAACTATGACACAGCATCAAGACATTCTTCAAGCTGAAGTAGAAGTTCAAGTTTTCTGTCATCACAGATGCTTCTCTTAAAAATTTCCTTTAAAGATCAAACTCAATCACACTGTAGAACTATTACCTTAACGAAACTCTTAATAATTTCATAACAACTAATAGTTCTTCAATACAAATGGGCCTGACTGAGACAACCTTTTATTTCTTGATGTAAGAGTAGTATTACAAAATTTTTTACAACTGAGTTTTAGCAAAGCATGGAATCTTCTCCTTCTTCAACAATTGCTCAAAAATGGAACCCAAACTTGGCTGTCTGAGGCTACCATCCAGTTTCTGTCCCCTCCTAAGCCTTTCCTGGGCCACAGCCCTAGCCTCTTGTCTTTTCCTCTCACTGACCTTTCATCAAGCGTTACTAACCTCACCTTCATCTGATCTGCATTTTTACAAACAGACTACTAGACAAATATTTAGATTTAGTGATAACTTCAAATTTAAAAACTGTACAGAGTTCCTCCAAAAGCATGTTGTTTACTCAGATGTCACCAACCAACATTTGAGTTTCTGCATATAAAGAAAATCACTGACAAAAAACCAGCTAAACAAATCTGAAGATGCTCCATGCAGATAAAATTTCATCCAGTAAGTTACCCAACAATAACGCAAACAAAAGGCCTCCAATTTGGTGATAGCACACAATAAACCAAATTTGGCCATGCTTTTGATGCATGCCCTAGCCACGAAGCCCTCTCCGAAATAAAAAAAACATAGTCATCTAGTTCTCCACTATTTCCCAATCAAGGGACACACAAGTAAGTCCCTCATTCTCTCTCCTGTTGTACTGATAGTTCAGTCTTTTTCCACTGAGGACTGAAATAGTTTTGTCTAATCCAAATTATTGGAATTAACAGGTGAGATTTAAGGATTTATGACATCCTGGAGGTCAGACTAGACAGCTCAGTAGTCACTCTGGCTTCAAACCTTCCTTACTCAACTATGAAGCTTTTCATTGGTGGGAATAAAAAAAACAATTATCGGTCCTTTTGAATTAAATTGTAGACATTTAGCGACTTCTGGAGAGAGCCACTGGTTTTGTGGACACAGCAGGCAGAGAAAAAAATAAGTATGTCCTTATTCTTCACCAGCGGCAGATTGTGGCAACGAGCAGTCTTCTGACAGCATATGCTGCCTCCAGCTTCCTGAAGCCTTCTCTATTTTGTAGTCACATCTAATTGGGGCAGGTGATACTTCGTCAAATTCTGTCACATCATAACACTGGTTATTACAAATATTTCTCTGGCAGAAATGCCAAAGTTTGTGCCTTTTGAAAGCAATTTCAATTTTAGGAAAAAATCTAGATTCAAATTCATCTGTTACTCTTAACACTTTGGACGACACTAGCTTCTGCTGAAACTGCTTAAAAATTACAGACAGCACTCTGGGTTTAATCTCTATTTCTTTACCACAAGAATCAAAATAGTTTCTTTCTATAATGAAATGTTGCTTGTTCAAAACTAATCAGTAAAATCTTGGTCTAAGTCCTTTTGCCTTCTGTTCAATTTTCCTGGTGCAGATGACTGAAGATGGCAAGGTAAGCTACCAATTTAACACCTGCCACTGAGGAGAATCTGGAAGTAGCTCAGAGACAGCACTTGCAACTAGTTCATTCTATTACCAGTAGAGATTCCACTAGTCTGCTCCAATGAAAGAAGCCTGCCATGCGTATCTGTGGCCTTAGGCAACCTCAACCAAACACACTTCTTATAAAAATGTTTACTAATGACGACTCTCACATCCAGTTTTCCTTCTTGTAATACGTTGTTTAAATGCAAATGGAGAACATGAACTGGATATCGAGCCGTTCTACAAGACTCAGCCCAGACACAGCTACAATGGTTTATACATGAAACATTTCATATATATAACAGCTCTGTGTGGAAAAATCTAGAAACATGAAGATCGTAGCATTAAAGACATGGCTTTAATTTTTGTAATAACTGACGCGTTCTTGCATCAAGGGCTGTGAAAATAAGATGTTTGGTTTGCCACATCACAAGCACTGAAACCGCTAGAAAACACTGAAGGTTTCAATCATATATGGCATAATCACCCAAAAGCTCAGTTGTTCATTGTAACTCCAGAAAACAACCAAGCAACAACTTCGAAGTCACATAGTAAAGCAATTCTAAAAAGTTCAAGGTTAACACTAAATTTTCTCACCATCTCAGGAGTTTTGGAACAAACTCATTAATAACAGCAGGAGGGATGATACAACAAACTAATTTTTGACAGTTTTGAAAGATGACTATACAGCAGAAGCTGTATCTCCACTACTTGATATGAAAACCCTTATTAAAAGAACCAGCACTTAATACCAAAAACCTACAAATACTTTGCAAACATGTAGAATGTCATGTGCTGGACTTTTTTAATATACTAAAAATACATAACTCTTATAACAAGGTAATAAACTTCTTAAGAGTCAGGCACAGTTTCATACCTGATCGAAAACACTCAATGATTTGTTGAATACCGGATTTTGATGTTTGCAGAGGCTGCTGTAATAATGGAGGATCACCAGGTTCCAACAGATGCACTGAAATACATAAAAGAATAATGAGCCAGTAGAGCACACTCAGGTGATTTTTTTATTACTTACGGATTTTCTGTGGTAAACTAGCCAAAAATAAAGGCCAAGACTTACAGTAGTACTTGTCTTAGTCAAAAATTTCATCCACATTGAATTAAAAAATATCTGCTAATGAATTTTCCAGCCAGAACACCTTCTGACAGTTTGCTGTCATTTTGATTATTTAAAGAAAAGGTGTACTCAAAGCTACATGTATCAAACACAAAAACATATAAACATACAAAACCAAACTGACCCATTAGAAATGTCCATAATTTAAAGAAATTCCCCAGAAGAATCTACTTGACTCCCACCGTTCAAACCAAATCAATGCACAAAAAAAAGCATTACCAAATACTGTACTTAACAGCATACAATGGCTATTTCAATGTTGTCAGTACACACCTAAGCACCAAATCAAAATCTAAAGCAGCAATGATCAGAATAAAGCTAAGTACTGTGTACCAAAAAGAGCTATTATAAAATTTTTAACCAATAAAACCATATTCAGGAAATGTTTCTGGTTCAAGCAAGCTGCTGCAGTAATACGTTATTTCCGAAGTGTCATTCCATATCACAAACATTTATTGATCAACATTATTAGTTATTCCAATACACAGTATCTATCCATATGAAAATTAATAGCATTCCATCGCTGTATATGCGTAAGGCAGTTAGGCTTTGCCCAGAGGGAAAACCAAATATAAATTAATAACAGCACCTATTCAAGAATGTGTTTGCAAAATCATCAGTTAGGTCTTCTTGCTAATTTCTCATTGACAAAATAACTAGTTTCATGGTTCATAAATCAGCGCCTACCTTACCCATTTGATTTGAGTTTCAACCCCATTGTAAGGTTTCCATTTCCAAATGAAGCACTGAGCATCTCCAAGAAATTTATTTTTAATAAAGAGCAGTAGAAGCATAATATAAAACTATTTAGAGATATTAATTGCAAATACTTGAAACGCATTTTGACAGGAAAGTTGTTCTAGAAGATGTAAGGTTATAAATAAATTCAAGCTGAAAAGAACATCAGAAAGAAAAGCAGCCTAAGAAAAGAATGATTGAATGAACACTCCACCCAACTACGCTGGCCCCATAATATACTATTATATATACGAACACATAACAACCATCACAAATCAGCTAATCGTTTGGGGATCTCTAACACAATGACATATTGTATTCTACTAGTCTATTCCCTATTCTTCAAAATAGTATATTTTGGTCTGTATACTGCCTCTAATATGTATGTGCAACACCCACTGACATCAAGAGGAGTGAGATATGTGAAGTAGACACAACACATCACTGTTATTTGTAAGGCAAGTAAAGGATTTTAGCTTTTTTTTAAAGCATTAGAACAACTCAAAACTATTTCATCTTGAACACAAAGAAATGTTTCTACTACCTGAACAATACCTACTTTCAAATTACATTTAATTAAAGGAGCATTATGAAAGTTGCCATGCGCACACTTTCAACTATTAACTCCCCAAACAAGATGTCTTTCTCTTCAAAACACAAGTAAAAGCATCCAAATAACAAACTCTACAGCAAAGAAACAAGAAAGGAATCAAATTTCCTTTTAGGCTACCAATTATAACAGTAAGCAGAACAATTACAAAAAAAATCTGACAAGTTGGCTGAGCCTCCAAGGTATTTATCATACTTTCCACTGATGGCATCTTCCATGTCATACAGCAGTGGAATGCAAACAGCCATTTCAGGACTTGGAGGTTTTTTTCTCCTGAGAGAAGAAGATCTTCAAGTTCATCAGAGCTCATCAGAGAAGATGTAAAGTAAAAACATAAACAGCAAATGCAAGAGATTGCCAGAAATGTCATTTTAGAAAAAAAAACAGATTATTACACTTTTTGGAAACAAAAAGGCCAGTTGTCTTACACAGCTCTTGCCTTCCTCAGCTCACTGCATACATTGCCCACGCAGGGGCTTGGGGATTATCGCACATCCTGCAGGAACTGAGAAATTATCTTCCTGAAATAATTTTAACATAACAGTTCGAAGACATCAAAAAGCATTTCCAAACAAAATTCAGAAACTTTTTATACCCAAAACTGTCACTAACAATGCATATTTCCAACATCACAACAGCTTCTGCAAGCTTTTAACTTGGAGATAAGGACATCAGTAAAACAGCCAAAGCATCACACCCCCCTGTACCTGGTTCACAGCATCCATGGTGATGGTGGTCAGTCTGACAACACTTGTCCCTTAGCGGCATTTTCCGTGCGCACGACCTACTTTCCTTCTACATCCAGCAGCTCGTCTCTGCTAAAATAAGCAAATTAACTGTCACCCCCCAAGCGCAGCCGGCTTAGGACAGCGCACA